ACCAAATTAGTACAATTGTTATTTGTGGACATTTTAACTGGAAAAAAAAAAAAACAAAAACAAAACAATACTCATATATTGTTGTAAAATGATGTAGTTAAAAAAAATCTTAAAGCAAGGGAAAATATTTTTAAAGTATTAATAATTATATATATATGTATTGTTATGTAACTTGGTATCTATTTTCTAATGTATAACGGGTGGTAAATTGTTTTGAGGTATCTTATGGAATTCTCTCGTATAATTACTTTCTCAACCTACTGAAACACAAGGAGCTAATAACGTTTTCACTAAGGCTTGAACTCACAACCTTCCTAATGAAAGTCCAACTCGGGTACCATTGGACCACATAGTCCTAGTGATTGAATTGCAATTCTATTTCTACAATTTTTCATGAAATGTATATTTAATTATTTGGTTGGAGAGAATTGTAATTTTCTTCGATCATAGAATTGCAATTCATAAGGTTTCTCCCATGAATTACAATTTCACAATAAATTATGATTTTATCCTTCGCCCCATGAATGTTTTTTAGTACTAATTGAAGTGCAGCGTAATATCTATCTACAGACTTTCTCAACTTAGTTGCGGTTTGAACTTGTGATATCTTATTTGAAAGAACTACAAAGAAGTTATTGCACTACAAAGAACGTAACTAGAGAAATATTTACAAATTTATACACGAAATTATATGTAGATTTAATACGGAGTATATGTTTTTTTTAAAATTAATAGTGTATTTCCAGTTAGGCATTGCGGCATGAGCTGAGGGAAACAAATAACCTCGTATTCAGTGCAATCAGAAGAGGTGGCGGATAGATATGAAACTACGCCACTTTTTTCTCCGTCCGTTACGAAGTTACGTTACGTTCTTACGTCTCACGTGTATGTACACCCAATACGACACACTTGCCTCTAGACCATGACTCAACTATCATTCAATTAAGCTGACTTTTTGGCTTTTGGGATTGTTGCATATGGCATAGTGTGAGATTAATTTATTTTTTTAATATTGTAATATCATGGGATTAATTTGAATATGATTAGAGTTATGTTTCATACTAAATTCTTACTCAAAAATGGTCTAGACCCTATTTGGTAATTAAAGATTAGCAAATTATATTAATTCCTTTAGAAACATATTTGGTAAAGATAATTGTTTAGTATTAACGGTTAATATTTTAAAAAAAAAAACGATTATAATTATTCAGAAGTAGAAGAAACAAACAATATAAAACTCTTTTCAAATAAATAAAAAATGAATAAGGTTCAAATTGGTCACTGAACGTAACCTGAAAATGCAATTAGGCCACTGAACACTGCAAAAACGTGCAATTAGGTCACTGAACTCTCCAAACGTATACAATTTCACCAGATAGCAGGTTACCTGCTTACGTGGCATCTGAGTTGGCATTTTTAATAATTTTTAAATAAAAAACAAAATACAGTCGTTTTTATTTTTATTTTTTTATAAAAAATTATTATTAAAAATACCAACTCAGCTGCCACGTAAGCAGGTAACATGCTAAAGTTGAGGGTAACCTGCTACCAGGTGAAACTTGCACTTTTTTTTCCGTTCAATGGCCTAATTGCATTTTCGTGTTACGTTCAGTGGCCAATTTGAACCTTATTCCAATAAAAAAAAAACAGACTATTCAACAGGTATATTGAACTCGCTGAACAAACTTGCTAGTATTAACTAAATTGATGAAGATCGATCAATGACGCTTCAATGGCTCCTTGAACGTAACCCATTACTTAAGCCCATAACATCAAACAACATTAATAAAGAATAATGATATACTACTCAAAGATGGTTATTGAACCTGTTAAATTAGGCAAGCCTTATACTCCAACCAATAAATTAAAGAGCAAAAATGAAATTTTAACTAAAAAAATAAATTGTTGATGTTTAAACACTACTCACAAATCACAACAATGTTTCAAATATTGGGATTTTGATAATTACTTGCTAAATGAAGAAGCTTTTAACCAAATACTTTCTTTAACGATTTAACTTAATCAAACCGTTAAAGATGATCAAACTAACAAAAAATTAACATAACTATTGATAAACAAATAAGACCTTAGTCCAAAAATAATTTAACATGATATGTATCAATTATTTAATTTTGTAATAATATTAGCAATTCGTTTATGAAAGTGCCATAAAATTGTGAATTTTAAAGTGACTTATTGAATATAGTTCCGTTTAAGATTTCGATAAACTCACCATTAAATTCATATGTGTCCTATGCAGGCTACACCACTTGTATTTTCAATATTCATCCCCTACTGACCGTGCATGCATGATGCTGCTACATATAATAATGACCAATCAATTAAATTAAATGCTTATTATTTTAGAGTTGCTCATTGTCTTCAAGGAGAAAAATAGGGAATACATTATGCATACTTGACAATTTTTTTTTTTTTTTTTTTTTTTTGACAAAGACTTATTTGGCCACATATAAAATGCACCGAGCTGAGAGAAAGCAACTAAACTGTTAAAGTAAAATAATAAGGACAAATATTCAAAAAAAAAAAAATCCTTAAATTGATGATCACACACACACACACACACACATATATATATATATATATATATATATATATATTAATTGTAAGAGAAATTATATACAAAATTATTTCTCCCATTCGACGACTTCTTTTCGGACACAACATTTATCTTCTAATTAAAAAGTATGAATAAGAGTAAAATAGGCCACTTAACTGTACACCAAATTACAATTAGGCCATCGAATTCAAAAAAAAAATGTAATTTGGTCCATGAACAACACAAACTTATACAAGATGTTATGTAGATGCTGGCTACCGGCATGCAACGGGGGAGGCAACCTATGGTATGGTACCTCATGCCGGACGGGACCTTTATGTCGGCGCGAAATGGAAGATTGTCAACTTGTGTCTCGCCTTTTATGGCGGAAGCTTTAGCTTGTAAGGGGGCTTTATCCTGGTTGCTCGAGAGGAATGTGGTGGATGTGGATATACTAACCGATTGCCTACAACTCTGAAATGTCATGCGTCAGGGATCAACAACTATAATGTCTTATGTTGGGGTCACGGTAGATCAATGTAGGAGGGTGGTGGCTTCGTTTACTTATTGCTCTTTAAGTTATATTTCTAGACAGCTTAATTTGTCTGCACATGTTTTAGCTTCGTTAGCTTTTACTCAGGACCAGTTTATGTTATGGGATGCAATCCATTAATACAATCATTTATTGATTGACTTTAAAAAAGATCCAAAATGACCTGTTTACCTGAAAGTGTGCTGACGTGGCAGTTACCGATTCTTTAAATAATTTTAAAAAATGCCTATTTGACCCCTATATGCAAAAGTCTTATAATAAATGATGAATAGTTTAGAGTAGGTTAAATTCAAAACTAAAAATAGAATTATTTTCCTTAATTTGATGAAGATTGGAGATTAGATTAGATTAGGTAGACCTAATATTCTTTATATTTTAAATTCTCTGCGTTTGGTTATATGTAATTGTATAAGTAAAATTACCGTTAAATGTATTTGTTAGTATAATGTGGTCCATAATCAGAATAATGTGTGTAAAACAAACTAGGGTCAGTGTATTATTTTGCCCAAAATGACAGGACGATTGCATTATTAATAAATTAATAATTAAACAGGCAATTTCTCTTTTTAGCCTCCTTTTCCGCCCAAGGAGTGAGCCAGTTATCAGTTATCACCGACACTATTATTCCATGAACATTATTGAACACTAATAAATCTGTTTAAGAGTAGAGATTTAATTGACTTTCAATTTATGTATTACACCAAGAAAAAAAGTCAAATAAAAATATATTGTTCTTAATAAATGAGTCATTTTTAGTAAAATAAAGCTAAGCTTAGTTCATTTACAAATGACACAATTTGTATTGTACTCTTGCTTACAAAGGTAAAATGCTCGTGCCTTTAGGTCCCTACAATAATCCGGTCAGATATGGTACAACTCGGTCCCACTTAAGGTGACTTTTACAGTGTACTCTATATGTATTATCCGATGTCGAATAGAAACATTTAGTTAAATAAAAAGAGCTTGCACAATTTCATCTACATCCCCTATATAATTATATTATTCATTACACAATTTATTATACATTTTCAAAGAAGTTAAATTTTCATTTACTTAATTGAGTGATGTCACAATTATATTGTTTAGAATAGTGTTGTTTTTAATTTTCTACATATAATTGGACAATGAGTCATATTCGAAAAGGGTTAATTTATTTGAAAATTGAGTTATAATTATGGTCTAATTGATGACGTAGGCATGGCCTCAGTATTTTGTAATACAATGAGTTCGGAACATTAATCCTATTCTCAAATAAAATTAACTATACCTTCTTAACATGATATCATTCACAACTTTACAATAATCAAATCGAGATCTAAACCAGGACTATGTGGTCTAATGGTACCCGGGTTGGACTTCCATTTGGAAGATTATGAGTTCGAGCCTTAGTGGAGGCGTTATTGGTTCTTTGTGTTTCAGTAGGTTGAGAAATAGAACCAGTAGCTTTCAAAAAAAAAAAAAATTGAGATCTAAGACATTTTGATTAAGTAACATTTATCTTTAATTTATATAGATTTTTAAATAAATTAAAGAATCAAACTAGTGCCCACACCAGTTAACTCATTAATTATCAAAGTTCAAAACAAAAAAAAATTGAGATCTAAGACATTTTGATTAAGTAACATTTATCTTTAATTTATACAGATTTTTAAATAAATTAAAGAATCAAACTAGTGCCCACACCAGTTAACTCATTAATTATCAAAGTTCAAAACTCAACAGCTAGCTCTAAATTAGGATTCAATCTTTTTGAAGAATTAGATCATTATTCTTAAACTAACTTTTATGCTCCGATGTTAAAGATTAAATAATATTGTAGCGATAAATGCGATGGGATTTAATGAATGCACAAGCTTTCATAACTTGTACCAGTACCCATTAAAGAAGACAAGAAAAAGTTCTGTTCTTTATTGGATGCTACTGACTTTCAGCTCTTCTCCTGCCCTTACTTAAGTAGAAGCTCAGTATTATCCACACTATCATTCATGAAAATGGGTTCAAGAGCTCTCTTCTTCTTAGCCATCCTCTTCTTCTCAGCTCTCTCTGCCATAGCAGAAGACAGCCATGAGACTTCTGGGCTTGCTATGAACTACTACAAAGACACCTGCCCTCAAGCTGAAGACATCATCAAAGAGCAAGTCAAACTCCTGTACAAGCGCCACAAGAACACAGCGTTTTCTTGGCTCAGGAACATCTTCCATGACTGCTTTGTTGAGGTAATTCAATTCCTAGAGACTCTGAGAGAAAGAACCCAGAGAAAAAGATGTGTTTTTTTTTGCTTGATTTGTGACTTTGTGAGTGCAGTCTTGTGATGCTTCGCTGCTGCTGGACTCAACCAGGAGGGTTCTGTCTGAGAAGGAAGCAGACAGGAGCTTTGGGATGAGGAATTTCAGGTACATTGAGACCATTAAGGAAGCTGTGGAGAGGGAGTGCCCTGGAGTTGTTTCCTGTGCTGATATTCTTGTGTTGTCTGCTAGAGATGGCATAGTTGCAGTAAGTATAACTTTGTTGTTCTTTGAGTGATGAGTGCTAAAAAGTGACTTTCTGAACCAACTTATCAGTAGTCATGGTTATTTAACTAAAATTTTGCTCTTTATTTATGTTTTGTGGGTTTCTTTGGTGGCATACAACTACAAGATTCTGATATGTTATGTGCTTCTTGATAGCTTGGAGGCCCATACATCCCACTCAAATCTGGGAGAAGGGATGGCAGGAAGAGCAGAGCAGATATTCTTGAACAATACCTCCCAGACCACAATGACAGCATGAGTCTTGTTCTTGAGAGGTTTTCCAACATTGGAATCAACACTCCTGGAGTTGTTGCTTTGCTAGGTATAGATAGATAAGAGTAAAATTCAACATTTACTTGCTGATCTGATGGTTTAAGGAAAGGCTTTTAAAGAATTTTGGGACTGTTTTTTGTAACAGGAGCTCACAGTGTAGGAAGAACCCACTGTGTGAAGCTGGTTCACAGGTTATACCCAGAAGTGGACCCTCAGCTCAACCCTGATCATGTTCCACACATGCTCAAGAAATGCCCAGATCCAATTCCTGACCCAAAGGCTGTGCAGTATGTGAGGAACGACCGGGGCACGCCCATGAAACTGGACAACAACTACTACAGGAACATTTTGGACAACAAAGGGTTGATGCTTGTAGACCACCAACTAGCCACAGACAAGAGGACCAAGCCTTATGTCAAGAAAATGGCAAAGAATCAGGACTATTTCTTCAAGGAGTTCTCCAGAGCCATCACTATTCTCTCTGAGAACAACCCTCTCACTGGCTCCAAGGGTGAGATCAGAAAGCAATGCAATCTGGCTAACAAGCTCCACTAGTTTGGCTTCCTAATGGCCTAGTAATAAGAGGGTTGGTTGCCCTTACTGGACTTTGTTTATCTACCAGCTTCAAATAGTGTGGCAAGAAAGTGGTGGTGATGTTGTTTAATTTCAATGGTTCTACTGTAAATTTCTTATTTCAGGCTTTGCAGTTTATGTATGGTGGAAGTAGGTGTTGGTGTTTGGAGCATAAATTAATGGTGATGGTCATTATGCTTGCTTAAACTGTACTGTTCTCTTTTTATAGTGTGGGATCATGTGAGCACCCATAGATAATGGAGTATGAAAAGTATATGACCAAGAACAGTAGGACCCTCACCAAATTTTTAATGTGAAAAAGAACAAGATTCCTGGCATGATAAAACGTGGTCCTATCCATGCCAAATGTCACTGCATATCTAGAAAACAAATAATCTAATGCAATGTGGTTTAGAAAGAGAGGCGTTTGGTGATTACTAAGTCAACAACCTGACTAACTTGGCTGGGGTTGCCCTCATAAATACTAATATCTTGAAATTGATATATTTTGTTGGGGCATGCATCAAATGATTATTGCCACTTTCCTGAAATAATTTAGATAGTGACTGTGATGAAAACTTCTCAGTGCCTGATATATAATGTGCATGCAATAATTGGGTTAAACAGTGGGAAGTCCCACACCAGTAAAATGAACTTATCAATTTGCAGAAAGTATTGCTTCTGAAGGTAGCAAAACACTTATTTACTAGTGAATGTAGTGTTCCCATGATTCACATAAGAATCCAGAGACTCCTAGCTCATTTTTTCTTTCTTGACTCTTTACTACTTGAACTGCTGTTAGAGTCCCTCTGGGCAATATCTGATGCTGTGTGGTTTCTCCCATTGCCTGGCAGTTCTGGAATTGGAGGATTAGATGGAGGATGGCTGTAGTATTGGTGGGGGTGGATGGATAGGTAATTCCCGGCAGGAGGATACCTATATGCTGAGGGATAAGGATAGAGTTGGAACGGATTCGCGGGATGCCAATATACCATAGGCACAAAAGAGTTTGTTGGATAGGCAGGGAGAAAAGGGTATGAAGACTGAGAAAAAGTATTGATGTTAGGACTGGTAATCACTGGGTTCGACATTGGAACCTGAGATGATGTTAGCTTAGGTGAAAAGGTGCCATTTGTTAGATTTGAGGCATATCCTGTCAATTCAAATGGATCAGAATGTGGAGGAGGAGACTTAACAGCTGAAGTTTTCTCATCAAGATTCCCTGAAGTGGTTGTGTGTTTCTTGCTTTTCTGCCTTGAAGATGCAGCCATGTGGATTGTTTGCTGACCAGCATTCTCATCAGCCAAAGGATATGACAGAAATAACTCCTCCCCTTCTGCATCTTTGTCTGTTCTGCAACATTCTCAGGATTTGTTAAGCAGAACCGAAATGATGGGCTTCAAAACAGTAAAACATCCTGGGATCAAGAAACACAAGTACTGTAATTCTGAATACCTGTAATACTTCTGAAGGAGGTCCAAGTTCTTGTAATTGGTTTCCCTCTGAACCAGGTCATTGGGGAAACCAGCCATAAACAGGAGCGTGATGCCTAGCGCCTTAAAGAAGAAGCTCCCACAACGAACGTGGACTAGCATTGCCATTCTACATATTACTGGCCCGAAAGACTTCAACTTGTTTCTTCCCATTCTCTGCCTCACATATCTAGGAGAATGGAATAGACCATAAAGATGAGCCAAGAAAATTTGATTCAGGAAAGAAATGGAACAGAACTTACTCATTTTGGGGGAGATTTCTTGTCCTTCCTCCATATTTGATGCACAGAAAGAGGCATGAGGGACAGCTAGCATCAGATGGGCGCATAACCTTCTCTTCTTCGAGTATCTGAATAGGGCATAAAGTTGGATTTTGTCGATTCGGGTAGAATATCTTCCTTCTAACACCTGGATTTTCATACAGAACATGCTCCTGACACAAAGGGGCATTAGTTTTGTGAAGAGTCGAAACAAAATGCTGAAATGGTTAACAGCTTACCCCAGGATTCTTATGATCTACATAGGATTCTCCCTTCTGCAAAATGCTGAAATGGTTTAAATCTAATTCATACATGTCCTCACAGCCATGCCTAATACCAAGAGATGAGAAGACGATAATTTTCCTTATGGTATGCGACTGTGCATTTGTCTTTGATAGCTCTTCCATTTCCAGGATTCTTTTCACTTCTTTTGGACAGAATGCCATCTTTTGATGCCTTCTCTGAACTGATGCAGTCTCACAATAGCCTTCCAGTGTCATTTTCTTTCTGCAATTTTCCTCGAATCTCATTTGACTTGTGTCAGATTGTGAACTCATTTCTTTAACATCTTCATTCCGTTCTTGGTTTCCATGTCCAGATGTTATTGCAAGATGGCTATTGAGCAAAGGGAACTGTGCATTGATTTCCTCGCCACTTGGCGTGTTACCAGTTTCTTCCTCCCTATGCTCTCCTTCTTCTTGATCATCACTGTCATCCCTGTCACTAGAATCTAACACAAAGTCCCTGGATTGTGGTTTATCAGAGTGCAAAAACTGAGTTTCATCCATGCTCATCCATTTGACCAACCTGTCTTCAAGATTCTTTTCTTCAGTTTGTCTGCATTCACTCTTATGGGTCCCCAGTAAATTCAATTTGATACTGCCATCTTCATCTTGTTTACAGTCTGACATAACCTTTTGCCTCTTAAACTTCCTGGTTTCCCATCTTCCATTTTCACAACTAGCCTGTAACCAAAAATAACTTTCAATGAGAAAATGCTTCACCCTTTTAGCTAGTTTGCCTAATCATCATCTACCATTAAAAGAAACAGTGAATTGAAGCATGTGCTCCATCTCAACTAAAAGTCTAAGCTGATAGTTGGACTCTCAGAGGTCTCAACCATGGGTCGGCTTTGATATCAAATTGAAGCATGTGCTCCATCTCAACTGAAAGGCTAAGTTAATAGTTAGACTGCACATTTATGTTTATATATTACTCCGTAATATACTAACTGCAAAATCATGCATGTTCAAGAGATCAGAGCAACAATACCTTGTGTCTCTCTTGTAGCTGGGCTTCAAGCACCATGATTCTCTCCATGAGCTCTGCATTCTTCTGCCTCTCTCTTTGCAGCTCAGCTGAAATCTCAGCAATCACATTCTCTTTCCCACACAACGCCCCCGAAGCGTTCACCAAACTGGCACAAGACTGATGCATATGCTCCACCATAACCTCCCAAGAAACTAAGAAACTATATATCTCACATCAATCACAACAATATAATGCAAACTGTTATGGCTTTACATGCACTTCTGGTTTACCTTTCTGCTCATCATACCATGTTAAACTCATTGCTGACACAAGCCACAACACATATAAAACTGAGGAAAGCATCGCTGTTAAGGCCAGCTAAAACAAACAGAATTAGAGAATATGATTAGGAGCATCCGAGGCTGGTTATTCTGCTAAAAACTGTACTGTCCCATCCATGTTATAATAGTTTATTGTTTATAACAAAGATGAAAGAAAATGTGAGAAACAGGACTAGGTTACCATTGGCAGAAACTGAAGAAACATTATATTATAGTAAGCAAGAACCAGAAGTTCCCAGAAACTAAAATACTATAATATGCTTGTCTTGGCCAGAGAGTCCAAGGCTGGGCTCCTTTTTTCCAGACAAAAAAGAAAGGGTCTGCACACGTGCACATGAATAGGATGTGTTACATACAGCATCACAAAATGCAACCTCACGTGCAATGGGAAGCTTAAAAATTGGGCTGTCAGAAAGAATGTGAAACTTAACCTTGGATTCCATTTTCTTGAATTCAAAAATGGCCTGCAAACAGTTCAGTTCATTAGGGCAGCCTTGGTTATGGGAAGGGGCTAAGGAAAATAGAAACTGATAATTTCGAGTCGAATTAACCAATAATCAAAATAATGTAAAATGTTTAATCATTAATTGAACTAAATTATATCAATTAATCAAAAGTATTTGGATCGATGGAATAACCGGTTTTATATCGAAGTTTGTACATCCTTAGTTGTACCATATAAATATTTGTTTTAATAATATTTGATGCAATAAGATATATCGTCATGATTGTATAAGTTACAAAGAGTACTTGTGTTGCTAGATACATTATAAAATTTCAATTGTATAATATGATGTACTATAAATTACTCATTTAATATACGGCAATGTATGCAATTGATACTCATATGTGTATTATGATTGCCATTTGCCCATAATTGACGGGTTCAAATAAAAAAAATGTCAATAGATTGCTCCCACTAGAAACTAAACTTGAAATCTTATGATTTTGCTCTCGAATTGAACTTAAACTAAACTTGAAATTTTGTGGTTACAAAGTCAACAACCCAAGTCTTTTGAGGTTGTTCCCACTAGAAATTACTCTGTATAGCCTATTAACCAATTATTCACCTAGCTATAAGGCTATAATATCTAGCTATTAAGGTTTCAGCAACCAAAACCGGCTAATGGTGGACCAATCACCTATTTTACTAGTCGTAACGCTAATAACTAGCTATTACAAATTTTTCAGGTGAATAATCTGTTCTTGTGTATTGATGCACAAAAATAATATGTTGATGTATTTAATTATAACTTTTAAAAATTTAACTTAATTAATTTTGTATAAACCACATTAGTGGTCACTGGTTCTTTGAGGGTTTTTGCCAGACAAAAAATTAGGGTGGTTTTTTAACAAATGGGAATGAGAATTTTTGAAGGTTTTTGCTCATGCAAATACAAAAACTTTTTATGGGCCTGTATGCCTGGCAATTCGTGTATAATACGTGTTACGTACTGAAATTTAAACTAATTCTAGAAATATAATTAATTCTTTCTAATTAAGCTAAATAATTACAATTAAGGGCGTATCAATATGGGTTGGCACGATAACGACACGTTAAAGTTAACGGGTTGAAATTTTTAACACAATAATTACCGGATCTAGTGGGCCCCATTAAAAATGATTAAAAGTAAAAGAGACAGCGTGGGTGCTGCACCAGCGGGGCGCGAGAGAATTTTGTTTTAAATTTTTTTTTTTTTTTTTTTTTGAATGCTACTAGCTCTATTACATTGTAGTATCTGTTCATATACTTTCTCAACCTACTGAAACACAAAGAGCTAATAACGCCTCAACTGAGGCTCGAACTCACAACCTTCCAAATGGAAGTCCAACCCGGGTACCATTTATTTTTCCTTTTTATCAAAATTTTTTCCATCCATCTTTCCTCTTATTTACTCCATCTCTTTCTTATATGTCCTTGCAAAACCCAAGCAAAAAAAAGTCATTAAACTCTGACAAATAAAAAGTAAAAAAAAAAAATTAAGAAAGAAAGAAAAATTGACGTTTATGCGCTCAATTGGCGCGTACACTACACGTGTCGACTAGGTATTGCAGTTGCACGAAACGCACCTGTCTTTTCTTTCTTTTTCTTTTTTTTTTCCCCTAATGAGGCCCACAAAAAGTTGAATTTGCAAGAGAAGAAGGAATAAAAAATCCATCCAGCATTAGTTCAACACCCCCGCCCCCCCACCCCACCCCCCCAAATTTGTTTATTTTTTCCCCTAAAAATTACAAATGGGGATGTGCTCTAAAATTCATGACCTATTTGATTCATTTTTTCAAAATTTTCTGACACCAACGAATGTTTTACTCTCAGTGGTTGGTAAAATTCAAGTCTGTAATTTAGTACTGTGCTAAAATGTTACTGTACAGTTAGAGCAACCCCAATAGTGGAATTTTCACGGCATTTTAGGCATATTTTGCTTAGTTGGAGGAGGAAAGGTGAGGTGAGAGAAAGGTCAAATGCCTCTTGCAAGCACGGTTTTATCAAAAAGTGGGGCCCACTTCAATTAAATGCAATTCACATAGTACACGTGTGATTGACAACCTTGCGCCAGCTTGGCGCGTGCTGTTCACGCGTCAGCTGGCGCGTCCTACAGCTTTTCTATTATTATTATTATTATTATTATTATTATTATTATTATTATCATTATATATATATATATATATATATATATATATATATATATATATTACTTTCATGTCAGATCAGCTTTTTTTATTTTTTATTTTTTATTTTTTTTTCTTCTTCTCTTCCATCTTCTCTCTCCTACTTGACACCTAAAATACCACACCAAAATTCTCACTATTGAGAATGTCCTTATAGTCTGCCTTCCTAATCCCGGTTCTTTCAAGTCGTCATAACAGGCGCCATAACCATATCCCATCCCGAACTTCGTGCAATTTTTCATCCTAACCTTAAAAATCCAACGGTGCTAATTAAAAATGGAACGAAATTAGGTAAAAATTTTATTGCATTTAATATTCTTCTCTCACATACTGCCCGCATCTAATGTTCTAATTGACTGAAAATAAAATAAGAACATTGGATTAATACTAGCATTATTTTATATATATATATATATATATATATATATATATATATATATATATATATATATATATATATATATATATATTAGTATTTTCGCTCGTGCGATGCACGGAATGAATGTGTTATAATATATTAAGAATATTTGAATTGATATATAATTATTTAAATTAGAACATCAAATATTATATAGTGCAATTGAATGTGTGATTTGGATAATTTATGTGTTTTGATTTTATCATTGTTTTAATTTGAGCAAATAATTGTTCAAATTAATAGCTAATGTGTAGATCTACGCATGCGATGTTGTAACTTTGGAGATTTTATTTATCATTGTTAGTTTTTTTTTTTAAAAACAAAAATTAGGTAAATGTGCTCAATCTCTAACAACTTAGTTATAAGAATGAATTGATATCCTAATTCATTTGTATCGAAAATATATTTGGTGTCTAGATATATAGTAATTTTGCCATTTAAAAAACACAATATCACTGAATGTATTTACACATTGTTGAAACCTCTTTGTAGACAACATTGGTAGTAGCAATACAATCTTGTCTATCTTTGTATATAGCTAACACCTTCAGTCCATCAGGATGTGTGACTTGGGTGGAAATATATAATAGTAGAATATCAGTCAATTAGTGATCCTTTATATTTTCAGTCAATTAGTAATATCAGATTCATTTCAGCCAATTATTCTTTTTTATTTTCAGTCAATTAGAATATTAGATGCGAGCAGTATGTGGGAGAAGAATATTAGATGAAGTAATATTTTTACCTAATTTCCATGCCATTTTTAATTGATGAAGTATAATATTTTTATTGAAATATTTACGTTATATTTTTAAGTTACCTTTATATTGTTTAAACTTTAAAATATGCATTTACTATTGATGATGTAGAATATTATTATTGAAATATTTTTGTCTAATTTTTAATTTTTGTTTTACTTTTAATTAAAATGCAATGATTTGACAAAGTTTTTATTTATTTATTTTATTTTAGTCAATTAGAAATATTATTGTTATCAATTAAGCATTATTAATTTTTTACTAATTAATTAATATTCATATTAATTTGGATGGAAATGTTGAAAATAGGATTTTACTTTTATTAATAGTATAGATTTTTTTCCTCTACCTGCCATTGCTACGATGAATAGAGCAAGAAATTTTCTGAGGGAGTGGAGGATGGCAGTGCGCAGTTCTGTGGAGGGTGCTAATCAGACTTTGCCTGAGGTTGTCAACTGGGCTAAACCTCAACATGATTTTCTGAAGATGAATGTGGATGCTGCTATCAACAAGGAAAATGCAAGAATGGGCTTTGGATGCGTCATTCGCGATGAGGAAGGTTTGTTTGTTGCTGCGAAGGAATTCCAGAAGACGGGCCAGTACACTCCGAGAGAAGCCGAGACGGCTGCGATTCGTGAGGCTTTAAGCTGGATCAAGGACTTACATCTGGACAATGTGCATGTGGAAACTGACTCTCTAATTGTGGTTCAAAGCTTAAATTCCAGTACTGGAGAGTCTTCCTTTCATCTCTTAGTTCAAGACATTAAAAACCTTTTGAGTAGCTTTTCTCAAGTGTTTTTATCTTTCGCTAAACGGTCAGCGAATCGAACAGCTCACTTGGTAGCTAAGCAGTCCATTTCTACGTCTGATTGTTTGGAGTGGTTTTCCAACCCTCCTCCCTATCTTTATAATGTGTTGTATTCTGATTTATGTTAATCTACGTTCTATTTCAAAAAAAAAAAAAAAATAGTATAGATTTTTTAAAATTTTAAAATTTCTCTCTGTTCCCGACGTTGTGAAATTACCACAAATTGTCAAGAATCAGAAGGATGAAGACATTGTTAGGGAGGAAGCGAGAGGGTAGGATGGGTAATTAACACCAGTGAGAAACTATCTCGAAACGACGTCGTGCCCAGCTGAAGTGGAAATGGCGCCGTAAGGCGGTAGATATATAACGGAACGGTACTGTCGAGCTGAACAAGGTAAAAGGGGGAAGATTCTCTGGGGGAGTGGTGAAACGCGAGGAATAATCGGGTTATCAAGGACAATAAACGGTGATCGGAAACAATAAGGCCGATGCCATGTCGGAGAAGGGAGTCTCAGTGACGGATGATATGGAGATTGAAAAAGATGATCGGGAATTTGGGGAAGACGACTCCTTGGAGCTTCAGCAGCAATCATGTAAAAAAGGAGAACCGACGAAGAAGCGTAGTAATCCGGCCGAGAAGGGCGCGGGTTTCAAGGAAAGCGAGGAAAATTCGGAGTCCGGGAAAGAGAATAGTGAAGAAACTGGAGCTGTAGCTGTAGCAGAGGAGAAAATTTCCGGTATGAGTCACCAGAAAATAAACAAAATTCCAGTGGATGGCGGTGAAGAGGGAATTGGAATGGGGGCTGAGATTGAAGGGGAAAACGGGGGTTCAGTGAATAAGAAGAATAAGTCCGGTGGGAAGGGCTGGGATAGCGAATTTATACCAGATGAAAATGGTGAAGCGGGAGCAGGAATAAAGGTTGAGAAAGAAATGGAAAGCGGGGATTCAGTGAAGAAGAATAAGCTCTGTAATGCTAAAACACAGGAAAATGACAGTCAAGGTCATGGGCAAGAGGAGCTAATGAATACGGAGAATGAGGAAGAAGTGGGTGGAAATAAAAAAGAGGATGAGGATTGTGCAGAGCTAATGGACATTGAAAAGGGAAAGGCGGCAGGTGGTGAAGAAGAGGAGGAGAATGAGGGTTGCAAATCTCATGCAAGGGCATTTCCAAGGAGGCTGTCAAGTCAGAAGGCGATTGAGAAGATTGGGGAACTCAAGGAACAAATGATGGAGTGGGATGAAGCAGACAAAGAGGTCAGTAGGAACAGGGGTAGGAAGAAAAAGATATTGGACAATGAGGGCCATGCTGAAGATAAAAGGAGGAATCGAGGGAAAAGGGCTAAACATGAAGAAAGAAGAGGAGAAGAAGATGGTGAAGAAGAGAAAGTAAAGGAAATTACAGAGGGTTCACGGACACTTAGACCCAGGAAAGTTAAGGATGAGGGTGACTATTCTGTGCCAAGGATCAGAAACAGGAAGGATGAGAATGTAAGATCTCAACTTCTTGAAAGTTGGTTTTATTGATTAATCATTGATATTTGTTATTCCTGGTACATTTTAAATTTAAAACTTGCAGGGTAATAAAGTTGAATCAAACATGTGCCACCAATGCCAAAGGAATGATAAAGGAGACGTTGTGCGCTGCACCAGCTGCAAGACGAAGAGATATTGTGGGCCTTGCATGAGAACATGGTATTGATGTTAATGCTAGTATTTTCTCTTGTGTGGTTTACATGCCTGTTTCTTGTAGCAATGGAGATGTGGCATGGATTTACCTGTTTTGGTAGTTTTTTGGTATTACTAAAAGCAACAAAGGAATTTTGTTGAGTTAGTTACTCCATATGTGATAGGCACTTTTGGCTATGAGTAATATTTTATTCTCTTGAAAATATGCTTCAAAATTGAAATGGTGCATTATCTTAACAGTTAACACAAATGCACACGGAAGCTAATATTGGAGCGCTTACTTGCTGCCTACTATTTGTGTCTTAATCATACCCTACCATATTACTGTATAAGTGTAAAATAGTAATAATTTTTTATGGGAGCTTATCTTGATCCATTCTCTGGTTATTGAGTTCTCTTGACAGCAATACTTAACCCAATAGTTTTATTTTCATCTGATATGCTCCTTAATCTTTATTGACATAGCCATTGTGACAACTTTTGTTCCGTGAAAAAGGTATCCTGGTATGCCAGAGGAGGCCTTTGCAGAAAAGTGTCCTGTTTGTCTTGAGAACTGCAATTGCAAAGCGTGTCTCCGATTAGATGGTCCTATAAGGGTTGGTTTTTTTTTTGCTTTTCTAGATTCTTGCCTAAACGGTGTTTCTCCTGAATATCAGTTCTATAGACTGACCTGAGTTTGTCCCTCCCCCCTATAGAAACTGAAGAAATTGATATTTGACGCCAGCAATGAGGAGAAGATACAGTACTCTAAATATATCTTGCAAGTGCTTCTACCTCTGTTGAGGCGATTCAGTGCAGAGCAAATGATGGAGAAGGAGATTGAAGCCAAGATTCAAGGTAAATTTTTTTAATTCCAATGTGGTGTGGCATTATGGTTCAGATTCTTCTTATTCCAGGATTTTGCTTTCTTTTCTCTACATTAGAGAGTTCTGGATGATGGCATTGTGTGCTTGGCTGCACCACAATTTGAGATATATGGTTCTAGTACAGTATAAAAGCATTTATTGATACCAGGAAGTAACCATAGTTGAGATTAAAAAAAAAAAAATCTTCATGTAGGGTTTGGTCAATACAGAACATTCTACTATATGGCATTTGATCATATGTTGAAACTTCTCTCTTCTTACTTCTGCTGCACACCGAAAGAAGTATGTTTTATCGTCGTTTTTTTTGTTTGTGTTTTTGGGTTCCTAAGGGGTAACACTTTCCGAGTTAAAGCTACAGAAAGCAAAGTGCCAGCAGAATGAGAGGATGTATTGGTAGGTTTTGCAAATGCTGTGTTTATTTGGTATGTGAACTTTTGTGCTATTGCATGCTAATATTTTGTTTACTTTACATGGTTTCTGCAGTGACAACTGCAGAACATCAATTTTTGATTTTCACAGAAGCTGTTCAAACTGTTCCTATGACCTTTGCCTTACTTGTTGCCAAGAGCTCAGGAATGGCCATCTGCAGGGCAATGTAGAAGAAATTGTCATGGAATATATTGACCGTGGGCTGGATTACTTGCATGGTAAAGCGAGTGAAAGTACTACTATGGAAACAAACACCAAGGAATTTGTTGAAACAAACTCCCTTGAAGATTCCAAGTCAGCATCTGAAGTGAAATCCACCTCTCCAACAAAAAGCCTTGAATCCCTTGTTGGCTGCTGTCATGAATGGAGGTTTGAAGAAAATGGTAGAATTTTTTGCCCACCAGAGAATATGCGTGGTTGTAATAAGGGAACTTTAGAATTAAAGCATCTTTTGGGGGAGTGTTATGTCACTGAGCTGTTAGCCAAAGCGGAAGAAATAGCAAAGTCATGCAAATTAAATGATATGCCTGAAAGTTCTCAGCGGTTGTGCTCTTGTTCAAAATCAGTAGATGAAAATGCTATTGATAAAAATAAGTTACGGAAAGCAGCTACTAGGGAGGATTCTAATGACAATTGTCTGTACTGCCCAGCCGCTAAAGACATTCAACACAAGGATCTGAAACATTTTCGATGGCATTGGCTTGAGGGTGAGCCTGTTATTGTCAGTAATGTGCTGGAAACTACTTCAGGATTGAGCTGGGAACCCATGGTTATGTGGCGTGCTTTTCGTCAGATAAAAAATCTAAACCATTCACGTCATTTAGATGTGAATGCTCTTAACTGCTTGGACTGGTGTGAGGTCAGTGCTGTATTCTTTGTCCATGCATAACATAAATTATATATGATGCAGCTATACGTTTAGAACATGTTTCTTCATATATTTATTTCAGAATTGGTTGATCTTTTGGAGTGGTATTGTATTTATTATTGCTTTTGTCTGGTTATATTTTTCTAAATATCTTCTTGATAAATGGTCTGTCTTTGCACATGATTTTCTTACTTATGATGCAATTATCTGCAAACAACTGCTTTTTCTGAATGAGAATTCACTGATGTTTTTTGCTGAAGGAGTGGATTGTTCTCAGCTTTTGGTAGTTTAGTAAACAGCTCAGTGCTCTTTCTTGTTTTGGAGTTCAATATTTATTGTCTTGTTGAATGTCTGAACCTCTCAAGTCAGTTTCCTTGTGTGTATTCATTCATGTTCTATTTTCCAAGTTGAATGCTGTATGATGACATGCAGGTTGAAGTCAATATCCACCAGTTTTTTGAATGGTATAGGAATGGTACAACTGATATTTATGGATGGCCTCTTATTCTCAAGTTGAAAGACTGGCCTCCATCAGATTTATTTGAGGAGCGATTACCTCGTCATGGTGCTGAGTTTAAAAACAGCCTGCCTTTCAAGGCATATACAGATCCTCAAGATGGCTACCTTAATCTTGCTACTAAGTTGCCAGAGAAGTCCTTAAAACCAGATATGGGTCCCAAGACATATATAGCTTATGGTGTTCCACTGGAGCTGGGGCGTGGAGACTCTGTAACTAAGCTGCACTGCGATATGTCTGATGCGGTATACTATGTTCCTTTCTTTTGTCATTTTTGAATGGATCATCTTAGTTATGGCTAATGCCAGTATATAAACCAGATAATTTCATAAATAATTTTTCCTTTCTTTGTTCTATAAAATAAAATGTTTTGTAAAACTAGTATAGCTAGGGACTCTGGTTGCATTAGCATTGACCTTAGGTTCTACAGCTTAATCTTGCTGCAGACCTGTTTTATATGTGTGAATAGTGCATGCAATGCAATTTGTATATAGACTTTGCCCCTGTTAGGTTTTACTCATTAAATTGTACTTAACTTTGTATCAGGTGAATGTCTTGACACATACTCAAGGAATAAACCTAAAACCCGAGCAACTTTCAAAGATTCAAGAATTGAAGGGGTATCATGCTGTCCAGGACAAGGAGGAACAGCAGATGATTCATAAGCTGGACAAATGTGAGGATGGACTTCATAAATTGAATGAGGAATATTCTCAGCAAGATTCTTTGGTGAACCCAAATTCTGTTGATCAATGGGATGAGAAATCTTCCACTTCTGTTAGGCTAGAGAGTAATGATATGTGCATGGGAATTTTGGGTACAGAGAATGTGAGTAGGTCTTCTGAAACAGGGGCAAGTAGTCAGGAGAATGAAAATGAAAGTCACAACTCTAATGGGTCTCTGTTATTCTCTGATGTGTTTGAAGACACTGGTGGTGCTCTCTGGGACATCTTTAGGAGGGAAGATATCCCTAAGTTGGAAGAATATCTCAAGAAGCACTTTAAGGAGTTTAGGCATACTTATTGCTCCCCAGTACCAAAGGTATTATGTTTTGCATGATTTATATCTAATTTCAGTTATGCTCACTATGCGTTAGGAGACTAATATTCTCAGCTTTCACTTCCTTAGCTTTTACTTTGCCAGTTTGTTTATTTCAACCACCTTGGTTTTATTTGCCTCAGGTTGTTCATCCTATTCATGACCAAACATTTTACTTGACTGTGGAGCATAAAAGGAGGCTCAAGGAAGAATATGGTGAGGCTTCTCTTATATAATAGTGCTACCCAAAAACATCATGATTTATTTCCTAAAATACATTATATTCTGATCTATTATATTGTACAGGGATTGAACCATGGACCTTTGTTCAAAAGTTGGGGGATGCTGTCTTTATTCCAGCAGGCTGTCCTCATCAAGTTAGAAATTTGAAGGTATATTAGCTTATTTCTGTGATTTAATTACTGCTCTTGAATGCTCCAAAATGCGAAGTTAGACTACAGGACAATTTGTTGGCAGCTTTTCATTCCTTTTTAATGTGTTGGTGGTACCAAACTCTGTCCGTGTTTTTACTATGATGTCTTAATTCCTTTTACTATGATTCTTTATATAATAAATTTTCATGTCTTTCCCTTTCTGATTAATGATGATCTCCATCTGCTACTTGTGGCAGTCATGTATAAAAGTTGCTCTTGACTTTGTTTCTCCTGAAAATGTTCCTGAGTGTGTGCGGTTGACTGAAGAATTCCGAACTCTTCCCCAAAATCACAGGGCCAAGGAAGATAAACTGGAGGTATGATCTCTATTGACACATATATCTTGCATATGCTGCTAGTATCTGTTTCTCTATTGCTTTTATTTCAAGTGTTGTAACTGCTAATGATGCAAGATGAGAAGGTATTAGTGATTGGTTGTTGTTCTAGTTGTTTCTCTCTCTCTCTCTCTCTCTCTCTCTCTCTCTCTCTCTCTTCCAGTGTATTTTTGTTACTGTAATTTTTATTGGTTTAATTCTGTTATCTCATCCTTTTGCCTGTTGATCTCTCTCTGTTCTATTTTATTGAGTCATACTTGTATGAGACCGTCTCACGGATCTTAATCCTTAAGATGTGTCGAATCTAGGATACTTGCTTGTTAGAAATCATAATACTTATTTCAGAAAATTTAATACCAATTTGAAATAAATAAATTGCTACTTATAATAGATTATTGTAATATTTATATGTAAAATTGTGATACTATTTAGGGTATAAAATGATTGTTACTAATGATAAATATTGTAATACTTATAACTAAAAATGCGATTCTTACAAAGTGTTAATTCTAATTTAAATATTGTAATACTTATTGTAGAAAATTTAATACCAATTTGAATTAAAAATAAATCATTACTTATGATTGATATTGTAATACTTATATGTGAAATTATGATACTATTTATGGTAAAATTGATTGTTACTAATGATAAATATTGCAGTACTTATAACTGAAATTGTGATATTTACACACTCAATTGTCTACAACCCGACCTTATCGGTGAGATGGTCCTAAACAAGTTTTTGCCTATTTTATTTTATATTTTTTAAATGATAAGTAAGGATATTAGAATTAAACAAGACTTCCAGTACACAAAAAATTATAGGATTCCAGCGGCAGGGTAGGGCTTCAATTCCTGCCACAAACATTGGGGGTTTGGGTTTGGGATGAGCTCCTTGTGCATAGAAGTGCACAGTTTGGACCTGGGGGCAGGTTCACGGGGTCCAAATATAGTCCAGTGAAGCTAGGAAACTTGGGTTATAAAAAAAAATAAAAAAATTATAGGCATCCAAGCTAACAAAGACACTCAAGTTTCAACCCATCGGAAGACTTCCTATGGAGCCAAAAATGTATGTTAACACAAAGATCTCTTTATCTGTTAGGAGGCATCATCAACCCATTGAAATTCGGATGATATCTTTCATTCCTGATCAGCAACATTAAGCTTGTAATGATTTTCCAGTTTCCCTTGACAATCTAGCTTTCAACAATGGTTTCATGACAAGCCTCCCAATCAAAAACAAAAATAAAATAGAAATAAGAAACAAGGAAATTTTATTAGAGTGACCAAATCTGGTACCAAGGGAAATAGTCCTCTTCATGGCAGTTCAGCACATGCCTAAATGGATTTAACAGAAAAGACTTCTTGTTAGTGGCCCAAGGGATCTGATCTCACTGTTGATGCTACCCCTGGTGGAAGTATATGGAACTTAACAAAACCATTTACCCCTTTACCAGTGCTAAATATGATGTAATATTACCTTTATTGCTGACACACTTTTACCTTTTGGATAGATTATGTTTTATATATATATTTTTTGATAAAGTTCTGCATTAGTAGACTTATAATTAAACACAATCTGTTTATATCCTGTACAGATTACTATGAATTGTACTTTAAAAAAATTAAAATAGCAAGTAAAATAGAAGGTTTTGGTCTAAAAAGTTTCTTCTCAAATAGGTGAAGAAAATGGTCATTTATGCGGTGCATAAAGCTGTGGAGGATTTGGAGATGTTAAATTCTGTAAGTATGCTCACTTGAATGTTCTATAACCATGTACTTATTGGCAACGGTATGTGTTTTCTGTTTTCCGCTCCTGACTCCTTGCTTGCTGATGTTGAATAAAATATCGCTCTAGGCAATGACTTTGGAGAAATATGTTTTGACTGCTTGTGTAATTAGGGTGTAGTTTTCCTTAACTTGAAAGTGAATGTGTAAGTGATGCAAATGATGGGAAATTGATTCACCAAGCAAAGCGACAGAAAATGAAAAATCAATCTTTTACATGCATGCAATTCTAGTGTGAAGTCATGCACTGAAAAGTAATGAGGAGCTTCAATTAAAAGGAAATTAAGCAAGGCAACAGTCAGAAAGAAAAAAAATTTAGGGCTCTTTCACTGTCGTCCTCTCTATTTTTCAGCCTTTGATTCTTCCTTTCCACTATTTGTCAAGAAAACTGGCTGGAGTTGTATCCGTGAACAAACTGGAATCTAATGCATATGGGTCAAACCAAGGCTAAAATGTTGAATCCAAACATTCAGCTAGTTGAACCCATAGCATTATAAACATGAAGTGCCTCTTTAGTAACTTGAGAAATTTTCAAATTGGAAAACAAAAAATAAGAATTGGAGAATTCTCTACTTTTCGAACTTAAAAAAGTAATATTGGAGAACCCTTTTTAGTGTTTTCCAAATTCTCCAAATAGAGAACACATAACTTATCTTGTCATCACCGCATTACATATATGATCTTTTACGGTTTACCCTAGCTATTTATCTACCTTCACCTACCTACCTACATACTACCTGCTTACCTTCCCGTACCTACCTATCCATCACCACCTCAACAAGTTACTTCCATTACAATCTTCATTTCCTTTCACCCATCATCACAATTATATTTGTTATCATCATCACTTATTTTACTATCACTATGTTTGCCCTATAACTCATCTACCTACCCTCGCAACAACTTATTTTCACTACTATTACCACTCAATATTATTGTCATACCCCACTAACGTTCGTACTTTTATATGAAAAATAATTGGACTTTCAAATAATTTTGCATCTAAAGATAGAAAATAGTTGAATTTGAATACACTTTCAAGTTTTACAACGGAAAATGTAAACTTGAAAATTTTTGAAAAACAAAGATGGAAATGTGATCTCTAGTAGAAAATAGTCGAATTTGAATACACTTCCTAGTTTTCCAACGGAAAATGTGAACTTGAAATTTTTTGAAAAACAAAGATGGAAATGTGATCTCTAGTTATAGGTCTTGGAGCTACACACTGGTCTCTCCCAGTCTCCCTAGTCTTCTTTTTAATTGGCTTGCCCTTGGCACATGTCATCGTTAACGATATTGACTTGAGTAAACTATGTCTATGCTTTTTCAGCCACTCATGTTACTACAATCTGATGTCTTTTTCTAATTTAGATATGCGTAGGCATTGTTTGGCAGTACTTAGGCTTACGCAAGATAAAAAAGGTTCAGTTTGAACTGAATCTTGGAAAGGAATAGAGGAACTTTGATTCATATGATTGGACATACAAAAACTAGAAAGGAGTTGGGGATCAAAATTGGAATTAAATTGACCTTTTACCTCATCCCAACAGATTAAAGAATTCTCCGATGCATGTGTAGCGGGAATATATACTTCCTTCAACAAGCGTGATAGATTTATCGCTGCTTTTTTACTTGATATAGGTGAAATCCTATGATACACTCCAATGATGAAATTGTCAAGATTTGATGTGGAATATCTCATCTTCAATGTTCTCCACATATGTGGACTGACACCGGACACCAATCCATTTAAAGCAAGTTTAGTCAACACAAGGTGACCAAAGAGGAGTGCGTATGATCACACTGTCTTCTACAAACATACTAACTACGGGTGTGTTTTGTTGATAGTGTATGTAGATGACATTGTGATCATAGGCAGTGATGCAAGCGGAGTCAATGCTCTCAAATCCTTTCTTAGAGCTGAGTTTCATACTAAAGATCTAGGAGTGCTGAAGTACTTTCTAGGAATTGAAGTTGCACGTTCCAAGAAGGGCATATTTCTCTCACAAAGGAAATATGTGTTGAACCTGCTCAGTGACACTGGGCTACTTGGATCAAAGCCATGCGGTACGCCCATGGAACAGGGTGCGAAGTTGTTGGCAGGTGAGGGGGAGCCATTTGAAGATCTGGAAAGATACAGGAGGTTAGTAGGGAAGTTGAATTATCTCATGATTACCCGTCCAGATATTGCGTTTCCAGTGAGTGTGGATAGCCAATTCATGAGTGCGCCTACACAAACTCATTGGGAAGCAGTCGTTCGAATTGTGAAGTATCTGAAGAGTGCTCCTAGAAAAGGGGGTCTTTACGCTGACCACGGATATATGCGTGTTGAGGCGTTCTCTGATGCAGATTGGGCTGGGTCACCTAGTGATAGAAGGTCCGTGACAGGCTATTGTGTGTTTGTGGGAGGCAACTTGGTCTCGTGGAAGAGTAAGAAGCAGAATGTAGTGTCGCATTCAAGTGCGGAGTCTGAATAAAGGGTTATGGCTCATGTGACGAGTGAAATAGTCTGGGTGCATAATATTCACAAAGTGGGTATCGAAGTGAAGTCACCGGTAGATTTGTGGTGTGATAATTGTGCTGCCATACACATCGCGAATAATCCGGTTTTCCACGAGTGGACGAAGCATATTGAGGTTGACTGCGATTTTATACGGGAGAAAGTGGAACAAGGACTAATATCTATTGCACACGTCCGGAGCGGTGATCAACTGGCAGACATATTCACAAAAGGGCTTAATAGGAGTCGGATTCTATATATATGTAACAAGTTGGGCATGTTTGATATCTATGCTCTAACTTGAGGGGAGTGTTAGAAGGTTGTTAGCAGGTTACTCTCAGCTACTCATTTTGAAATTCAAATGAGTGGCTGAGTCCTACTGTTAGTTTGTATATATAGGCTCCTATGTACAGCATATTTATTGATTCAGTTTAATGCATAAACACTTCATTACATACGTTCTACAAACCCTTTATGAAAATCATAACAAGTTCAATGGGAATTTAGGATAATTATCAATTATCAACTCATGAAATCAAATTGAAAGCAAGATTTTAACAATGTGAAATCGAACAAGAAGAGTGGTAAAAAAAGATGATTGCATAATTGTAGATAGATACTTCCATTGCCCATTGGGATGTTATCCTCAAGGTAGCGTTTTTGCTTTGCAAAGCCATGTAAAGGATTTTTCAACACATGGTTATTAAAGTGTGCATGCAATGACTTCACTAAAATGCATGCTTCCTGCAAACAAACATCTCCGCATCTATTCAAGCTTTTCAGGTATGTCTCCTACATTCTTTTGTTCTTAGGTTGGGCATGAGTTTATTTTACTGATGTATCATCTTGGTTTGAGGACTTGATAGTAACTTTCATTTGGGATAGTTTGACCTAGACCCTATCGGTTTTTAATAGTAATATTCCCATCATCCTACTCATTTGTCCTACTTTCTTTTTTATTTTAGTTGGCTAACACTTTTAATTTGTTATTTGCCTTTTTCTCTTTCACGATGAAAATGATTGTTCATTATGGATTTACAATCTAAAAAGTTAATTTAGAAGTGGGCAAGTCATAAGTTCTTCTTTGGTCCATCTTATTTTGGAGCTTATCTACTCTAAAAAACAAAAGATAGGCTAAACTCAAAAAGGAGAGAAGAGAAGTAGCTTTTAAGGCTAACATAAAATGTTTTTGGGATAAGGGTCAAATAGGCTTTCAAACTTAAGCTATCAAACTCAAGAAGCTTCAAATGGGCATCTTGCAAAACTTCTAGCTAGTCACTTGCCAATTTTTGGTAAATGCTAATTTTGCATCTCACATGGTGTTGAAGCGGCATCCTTTTGAGGGCAGCAAGCAAGCATGCATGCATTAACAAGTTAAAAATTGTATTTGTATCATTTTAAAATGATCAAAATGAATTGAGGTTAAAATTGTTGTGCTCTTGCTGGCAAAGGCTTGTATTAGCACATGGCCTCTCTAGTCTCTACTAGCAAGTGAAACCTATGACAATTCACCTTGGTAGTTCAATGGGATTGAGAATATCCAATAGTGTACTTACATGGAATGTATTGTAAATTGGTGGTTGGTAGGTGGAAAATATGCAATTGAAAAATGTATGTTTTGCCTATTCAAGGATGTTCTATCCTTTTCTGAAATAAGAAATTCACAAGCTTTTATATTGTTTCTGATACAACCCCTGGGCTGTATCAGAATGCTCTTCTTTGAGTCGAGCAAATCTTGAAAAAAATTAGAGAGGAAGGGAAGTAGAGAAAACAAGAGTAAGAAGTCATAAATTTTATGCCACCTAGTTTGTAATAGAATTGACACTTACATACATCTCACTTGAAGCCAACGTTACGGAACATGTAGAAAACTACCCAAACATACATAACTACCCAAAGATTAATGATCAAATGAGAATCACCTCTTAGGTGAGAACCAACATGAATGCTCACAATCTATTAAAAGAATTCACACAATCTACTTTAGGGTAGATTGTGTGCATTGTGTGCTTGGTGAAAGTTGTGTTTTAATGGAGGTGAAAACTGAGTATCGTCCTCAAGGAGTGGCTAAAAAGGATTTGAGTAGAGAGGGGTTAAGCACAAGCGCATTGAGTGTTTGAGAGCTAACCCAAAGGGATATAGGGAATGCATGTATTGACAATTAACAATGAGAGCAAGTAATGGAGTAAAAACAATTAACCAAGAGACTTGGATTAAACAACCTTGCATAGATGCTCATGAGTGTTCTAAGTTTTAAGCTGTGTAATGTTTAATGAAGAATTTGAGGAAATGGTATAGGTGCCAACGCCACTCTCGTGGATGTTGGACTATCACCTAGTCCATAGTCCCATTCTCATGGCAACTTGGCTAGGTGAGGCATTTAAGCAAACACTTTGTGTGCTCATTTCCTTCCTAACTCCTTTTTCTCAAAAGTGAGATGGAAATGTGAGAGGTATGGCTATGGTGAGGCCCTATTCTCATAGGAGAAACACCTAATCCTTCTACCTCTTGCATAGTTTGGCCTAACTATACAAGAGTCTATACAATTCACAAAAAAAAAAAATAATAATAATAAAAAATAAATAAATAAAAATAAAAAAAAATTCACATAGGCATCCATACAAAGGAGTTCAATCCAAATCTCTAAAGATGTTTAACTACTCATGCTTGAAATGAAAATCAAAGAATCTATTGAAGTGATGAACATTGCAATCACAATCACAAGAAAAATAGAATGCAAAAATTAAAGAAGATAACTTAGCTTGATTGTGGAAATTGAAAGATCAAATCTAAAATTTGATGTTGAAAAACAATTGCAAATTGAATTCTTCCTCTAGATCTTCACAAATGTTGATGAATTACAATGTAGAAGTGTTTGGGAGAGTTTCTAAGGAGGAAAAACCTAGAGAGAGAAACTGAAAAATGAAAAGTGAAGACAAAATCCAAGCAATTTATACTTGAAGTTCACACCAAAATAACAACCTCAGGATTGTCACTGGGCGCGTGGTTACGATGGAGGTCACGGCGTGAACTCCATTGTGACCCGGGAACCCAGGGGTTCACGATGGCACTCGCGGCATGAGTGTCATCGTGACTCCATGGACCAGCTCTCGGGTTCCAGGGTTCACGCTAGTGGTCACGGTATGACTGCCATTGTAACCCCCAGAATCTGCAAGCTGGTTTAGCAAGTCATGATGGAGGTCACGGCGTCACGTCCATCGTGAGGTGCTAGACCAGGTTGTGGATGTTAGGACCTCACGATGGTGGTCACGGCGTGAACTCCATCGTGACCACCTCCAGAAGGCACTTTGGACTCCGTCTTCGCTCCTTTACTCCGTGGATGCTCTCAAGCCTCTGTTTTGCCCCATTTTGCCTTGATATATTCCAGAATTGTCCTCTTTTCCAGCTTGTGCATGCCTAGGCCCAATCTTTCCTTCCTACAATCACAAACACATCAAATTCGGCATTGTTCCACCATACTTCCCTAACATTCAAGCAAAATTAAGCCTATATGAAGCACAATTGTAAGCCACTCCATGGCTTATCACTAATTTAGATTGTGTGCATTCATGTAGTAGTTCACGGGTTCTCACTTGAACGGAATCCACTACCCAAATATAATAAATAAACTAATTTATGCATATCATCTTCCTCCATTCTCATGCATGTCCCAGGTCGTATCACTCCCCCATCTATCAAAAGACACCTTGTCCTCAAGGTGTAATTTTGGATACCATTCTGAGAGCACAACCCCCAACACCCATATAGTATTGCCCAAAGAACATTCAACACATTGTACTAACACTTGTGGCTCTAACTCCCCATTCTGTAGCACTTGTTTGAAAACATGAATGGAAAAAGGTTCAGGCTCAAATTCAGTTGGAAGTTCAACTAGTAAATCTTAGGTCTCCTTGGCCATAGATCCTTCATGGGCAAAGACTAGGATATTGAATACCCATACTGTCATTGTCAAATTTTGGAACATCCAATCACTTCAAATTGGGTTCAGAACTCACGCATGTTGCTCAATGCCGTTATTTTCATCTCGGGAAATGGCATTCCTAATGGTTGGGGAAATGGTATTCCTGAGTTGTTTTGCCACCTTGCTTCAATCATGGCCATGACGGTGTCAAATTGGTGGCTCATATGGCTGAGGAATATAGTCTCGAGCGACACTATCTGCTTTTTTCAAGTATCTTTGTAGCTGCGCCTCATGTGAGGTCATCAATTCTTCTATTAATTGTTGCAAGCTCTACATATCCTTGTGTAAATCCTTAGTGTCCTGTTACCCACTTTTTAAAAATAAATTATTTTATCTTTTGGATTAAAAAAAGTAGGGAAAGCTGAAAGGTACTCTCAATAATGAAAGCACCAATTGATACAACCTCATAGTTGTATTGAAATGCTCCTCTTCAAGTCAAGAACGAAACTCCAGAAAAATGAAAGAGGAAGGGAAGAAAGTAGAGAACAAAGAGTAAGAAGTTCATATATTTCATTCCTCCTAGTTTGTAATATTAACTAACACTAGTACACATCTCATTTGAAGCCAAAGTTACGGAGCATGTAGAAAACTACCCAAATATAATAAATGAGAAACTAATTATGCCTATCATCTTCATCCATTCTATGCATGTTTCAGGTTGTATCAGTTTCACTTAGTCCTTGAATAAATAGCAGTGGAAGTGTTTTATGCTCTGTCCTGTTATATAAGATTGAGTATTGTTTGTACTGATTGTGAGTGTTCTTGTTAAGCCTGCAGATGTTTTTAGTCTCCATTAGGCCCTGTACATGTGCTTTAATGTGTGGTTTCCTTTGCAGGAAAGGAGAGAAGACTCAGAAGAGAATATCAAAAAAAAAAAAAAAAAAAAAAAGCAAAGGAGAGAAGAGAGATTGTCTGAATGACAATGGAGGGAATGTATGTGACTGCCCAACTTATCTGCAGTAGAACATGTGCTCGTTTCTATCAAATATTTACTTAGCCTCTGGAAGATGTTTGTTGTCTGTAATGATACCATAACAACAAATTATCTTTGTTCCTATGCTTATCATATGGTAAAACTCTACCCAATGGTTGTGGCTATTGACAAAGTTGCCAGATTTTGATTGAGCAAGGGTGGAGAATGTGGAAAGTAGCTGTTGCTTCTCATCAATTCATGGCTTATTCACTGTTCTAACTTCTAACAACAGCTCCAACAGTTGATCCAACTCCTGTTGGTTGTTATTCATAGATATAGATTGATATTATTATGTTAAACACATTTTATAAATAAGTGTTTAGATTATATGACTATACTTTGGCTCCTCCCTACTCGGGTTACAGGTCTCTTATGAATTTTCGAATTTCTTATTGGTGGTTGATGCAATAGGAGTTGTTTGCTGTGTATGTGCGTGTGTATATATATATATATATACACACACACACACACACACTCCTGTATCTAACAAAATATGAAAGCAATCTCAGCCAAGATATATTCTCCTGTATCTTTTGTTGGCTTGAGCATGTTAACTATGAATAATTCAGTACTCATTTTCAGGTGGTGACTATGAGTTTCTATTGTTACTTAATAAAAGAGTTAATGATTGATTTGGTCTGTTGACTATAGCGAAATTTCTGATTTGGTGATCGACTATCATTCTTATCAAATTAAGATTTTAATTTTAAAATTTTTATTCAATTTCGCCCTCCAGTAGGATGATAACCAATTTGAGTCGTAGGATGATAGTGAATAATGAAATTGAGTAAGATTTTCAAAGTTGATGACTTTTTTGTTGGTAGGAAAAGTTGATGACTTTGGTAAGGAAGATAATCCAGGATTATGATAATTTCGCTATAGTTAAGGGATCAAATTGGCGCCTAAAAAATGATGGACAGGAGGTGGAAATTCAGACAGAAACACACTGCATATGTCAATGAATGGTTAAAGAATTCACACAAAAAATCAGCCTAATGATCTGGTAAAATTATTTACATCAACCGGCAAAATCAGCCAATTACCAAAATCCACAAGGAGAAAAGCCATTAACCAAACAAGCATATATATATGCACCATGGCTTTCAATTCACTTCCGGAATGCTGTGCAAACGGGGCCGCCATGATCGTTGGCGCAGCATTTCCGAACCACCACGATTACCGGCGGCGTCGACCAACAATCCTGCCAAGACTTGGTCCACCGCCACAACGTGCGCTGCCGTCGTCTCCCCTTTTCCCAGCAGCTGCTCCAGCTGCTTCTTTGAGATCACGATCTTCAACTCTCCACTCGAAGGGGAAGAAGAAGACGGCGGAGATGAGGAGAAGGATGCACTGCTTTTATCACACAACAAACTCTCCCTCTCTGCAACTATCTTCTCCGGCGATACCCATTCCCACTCATCCCTGTCATCCTCCGCCCACACCATTGACGGTGATTGACGCTTAAGACAATTCCCCATCGTCCCAAATCACAACCTAAGCTAGCTAGCTACCTACTAACAGGCCGGCCGGAAACTAATGTATTCTATACAGAAAGCTTTGATGCATGAAAACTATATATACGCTGCTACCTTAGTAGAGATAGAAAATGAGAGGTAGGAATGGCATGGCACCTCCATATTTATACTTTCTTCAAGCCCCTTTTTTTTTTTTTAGTCATTGGAAAAATTCACAGTCATTACAAAGATCTGTATTGAATAAATCCTGTCTTGTAACTTTCTTCATAAAGAACTATAAAGAACATAAATTTATTTAAGTTGTCAATAGTTAATCGATTCAAACTATGTTCAATTATATCAAAATCAACAATTGATCAATTTAACTAGGATTGTCTGAATTTTTCTTTGATAGGAGAAGGTGGTGGGAAGGCTGTCAGAAAAAGATAAATATTTTAAAATTACAAACGACACTTTCTAGTTTCTAGTAGTTGACCAGAATTTGCAGTATGTGTCGCACTGTGATAGGCGGCAGCGTGGCTAGCTGCCAAGCTTTGGCCCCTTCGCCGTTACGGCTTGCTATGTTTGACTTTGAAACAATGAGAAATCTAGAAGTCGATCGATCTGACGCCGTCAAAACAGAATCGAAGACTACAACTACGTTCATACCTTGTCATTTTGCATGGATTTCACGTAGATAAACGGATGATGATGAATTATTATTACAGACTTTTCAACGTTCATTCAAATTTTCTTTTTAAAGAATTATTATTACCAAGCCATATTTGGTTCCTTAGCCGGCTTAGCTCAGTCAGCCGCCGACCAACGGCGAATTTTATATTTTTCGGTGATGTGGAAGGAATATTATAGATCAGAGATGGGAAGAGACAACATTTGTAGAGATGATTAATTAGTGGTCTAACATGGCATCCTCGTATGAACACATATATGTAAATGGAATCGAAGACAAAATACTTCACTTACCCTTACCGCATGGATTGACTTAAGTTCTTAATTTAATTCCATCATTTCTTGGAGTTATATCTAATGGAATAATAACTGATTAGTTTAAGGGAAATTGACTGAAATGGACATTGGGAAGTGATTGTGGACAATAATGGGAGGTCAAATTTTTTTTTGACAAGAATAGGAAAAACGAGTTTGGGAAATGCGGTTGTGGTTAAAACCGCATTTCCCAAACTCGTTTGGGTCGCAGTCATACTCTACGGACAGCCGCATTTGGGAAATGCGGTTGTCGTATAATATAGGACAGCCGCATTTCCCAAATGTGGTTGTCGTATACACATAGCCGCATTTGAGAAATGCGGCTTTCGTATATCATACGATAGCCGCATTTCCCAAATGCAGAACACCGCCGGCCATCGGAGAGGAGCAGACGAGCAATGATGAAGGAAGACACACGGAATCGTAAAAGGAAGAGAGGGAAGCGCCTCCAAAAACCCGCCGCCTCTCCGCCTCCTAGCGGAGATAATGTTTCTTTTGCTAAGCACAAATCCGGCGATTCATCCTCGGTTTCTGCCTTGCAGAGCAAAACCATCTCATGATTTCATTCTCTCAATTTTGCATGAACTCTTTTAAGTTTTTAAGTTGAATTTTATGATATTATGGAGTATTTCACTATCTAACAAACTTGAGTTTCAGATGCGAATCTTTTGGTGACTGCACCACTTGGACTACTTTCAAGCACAATTTTACTGCCACTTTTGCCTACTTTCTCCAAACTGGCAAAGGTGCTCATGTGATGCATTTTCCAATTGTAATTCGGTTATGCAATGATAGCTTATTATATTTTATATTTTTTCCCTGTCAGAGTGCATCCTGGACAGACCTCACCGAAAAGCTAAAAAGTGCTATTCTGCTATGCATGGTAGGTCTTTCACTGGGAAATAAGTAGTAGACCCTTTCTGGCTCCCTGGTTTCCTTATGTATACAACTGCCTGAATTCTGAACCGCATTAGGCACAATCAGCATTCTGAAATACGCAATATTTATCATTTTATGTTTTTGGTGTAAACTTTTGCAGGAGTATTCCATTATGCTGAACTTATGTATCCTGCTTTGCTTCTAAGCATTTGTTGCCTTGTCTCAAGCCTTACTACTTCCATCACTCATGATTTATTGGTCCAAATGTTGACCTCAATCTGCAGGAAGAGGTTTGCCCCTCATCAATTTTCCAGCAAAGTCCTTTTAACTTTTAAGATGTGTTAAGCATTTCAAGATATGCAATTTCTTTTAACCTGGGGATCTTGACTGTCTTTTTCAGGTTAGGTAGGGTGGCAGAAGCTTTCTCCATTTGTTTGGCCAGTGCTACTGGAATCATCAGCTTCTTTGTTCCAGTTATATTGCTTTATTTTTCAGGATTTAAGATGCCTGGTTTATCAGGGCTGCTGGGTTGGTTAACCAATAAGCCAGAAACTGTTGCTTAATTCTTGCAATATGCCAAAAACAGAAAGCTCTGGATTTTCATGGGGGTGTTTGGTAAGTAGTTGTTAGCTGGTTGGGTTAGTGGGTTTGAGTAGTTGATAGCGTTAGCTGATTTTTGAAAAAATGTTTGGTAAATTGGCTGATAGCAACCGATTACATGGAAAATGACTCATATTGTTTAGTAATGTTGGGTAAAATTGGCTGATAGCATTGAAACAACTTCAGTATGGTTTACCAATTCACCATATCCAGGGGCTTAAATGTAAACCAAAGAGATTTTCTCTCAACAATATAACAAAATACAGAATATAGATGCTATAAAAATATTACTAAAATGTTTCAAGACTCTCATATCTCAAAAAAGTATCGACGCCAAGAAAACTCTACATGACTGATACTGCAAACTTGGACAACTTAAGGACGCTTGTATATGCAAGGCTTGAGCTCAGGCCAATCAATTTCCCTTCCCCGCAACTTTTGCTTATCCTGCAATCAAAAGGAACCAACCACAACTAAATACAGGCACTCACTTCACAAAGAAACAAATCAATAATTTACGAGTAAATCTTATCACCTTTTTCTTAAAGTAGAGGAGTACAAACATCTTATTGGAGAAATCCTGCACACCAAACATAGTACTCAGAAGTGATTTGTAGATTACCATTTATAATGAGAACAACAATCTGGAGAAAACATATATACCTTCAGTACAAACATATACCAAACACCATGTTTTGGATTTATTTACGGAGATTGGACATAGAAAGCAAACTTACCACACTAAACAACTGCGGATCTTGTTTGAAATAGTTCAGCGCCTCGTCTCCACTGAATTAAAGGGACACAAAACAAAATTTTCATAAGATAATTTCAGCACAAGGCTTAACTTTCATGCTAGGCTGTTACATAAACAAGAAGCTATTCGTTAAAATAGCCTAGAAACAGGAGATAAACCGTTACGTATTAGGTTCAGTCATCGCCTCATCAAAAGCAGGAAACTTACGAGCATGTGTAAAGCTTCTCATTAATCATACGGAAGTGTCCCCCTGACAATCTCGCCTTCATCTGCATAATCACGCCAATAATTACCAATTCCTCATATTATCGAAAGATAGATGGAGGGAGGATGGAACCTTATCGATAAATGATGAAGTTTTGTTGGGTTTAGAGATGGTTTTGCTCTGCAAGGCAGAAACCGAGGATGAATCGCCGGATTTGTGCTTAACAAAAGAAGCATTATCTCCGCTAGGAGGCGGAGAGGCGGCGGGTTTTTGGCGGCGCTTCCCTCTCTTCCTTTTACGATTCCGTGTGTCTTCCTTCATCATTGCTCGTCTGCTCCTCTCCGATGGCCAGCGGTGTTCTAATAGCATAGCCGCATTTGGGAAATGCTATGATATACGAAAGCCGCATTTCTCAAATGCGGCTATGTGTATACGACAACCGCATTTGGGAAATGCGGCTGTCGTATATTATACGACAACCGCATTTCCCAAATGCGATTGTCCGTAGAGTATGACTGCGACCCAAACGAGTTTGGGAAATGCGGTTTTGACCACAACCGCATTTCCCAAACTCGTTTTTCCTATTCTTGTCAAAAAAAATTTGACCTCCCATTATTGTCCACAATCACTTCCCAATGCCCATTTCAGTCAATTTCCCTTAGTTTAAACGTTGATCATTTGTTACGGATGAGGCATTATCTTCTCCCAAAAGGTTGAAATATTCTCAATCCCAATTGTTCCATATAGCAGTTGGGAGGAACGAATAAGGCATTATCCTCTCTCACAAAGTTGAATTGAATGGTCCTGCAAAGCATTTGAGAGGGTGTAAATCAGCATGTGCACAAGGGGTTGGCTAACTTTGGCATAATTCCTACACTGTCGTCGCCAAAGTTCAAACCCTAGTCTCTTTTTTAAATACGATCTACTGAATCATTGAACTAAGTCAATGCGTGCACGAATGAGACATTATCAATTATACAAGTCATATTGTTTAATTTATTTGATATGAAATTGATAATTTTACAACATTTAATTTAAACTTTTCAATATATGAAAATAACGACTTAACAAAACAAAAAATTATCTTTTTTTTCGAACCGTTTACATTTTTCTGCAACTTTACAACATAGACAAACTTTTTTTTTTTTCAACCGTTAACAACTTATTATCTCTCTATCGTACAAATCATTTACTACAAGAGAAATAATCAATCAAGTCTCCTTCTTCTATTGACAATCTTACTATAGTATAACTCCTACACTAATACATTACACAATGTTTTTTGTAACTCAAACCAAAATGTTCAATACAATAATAAAATACGAATATTTAGTTAGTTTTACTTATTAATCTAAAAAGGTTCAAAATATTTCCTTTCAAATTTTTGCATAAAAATTATTGTGTCTAATTGTTTACTCTGTACTTCTTATTTTCTCTCATATGTTCAATCATATTGTTGATTGTGTTGGTATAAAATCATGAACAATTATCATTATATATAATAAGCATAAGTTTTTTTTTTTTTCCCATTACTAGTATTTGCGCCCGTGCGTTGCACGGAATGAATTTGTTATAAAATTTTAAAAATATTTATATCGATATACAATTTGTATAAATTATAAAATCGAATATTATATAATATAATTGAAGAATTGAGTTGCACCGATTATGTTTTCTGATGTTATCAATGCTTGAATTCGTATAAATAATTGCCCAATTAATAGCTAACGTGTAGATATACGCATTCGGTGTTACAACTTTAGAGATTTTATATATCAGTGTTTATAATTTGTATTAATTGGGCTAATTAGCTCGTTGTCTAGCAACTCAGTTATATAAATTATTTATACGGAAGATATATTTTCTATGTAGATTAGCTATATAGCAATTTCGTCATTTTCGTATATAAAAAAAAAAAAAAAACATAATATCAATGGCTTAAATTATACATTATTGAAAATCTCTTTATAGCTAGACGACATTGGTAGTAGTAACGGAATTTTATCCATCATCGTCTAAAGTTAAAACTATAAGACTATCATGATGGGTGACTCGAAAAAAAGTAACATACAATTAACCGTGATTAAAGACTGATTTTTTCAGTAATAACTCAAATATTATATATTGCAATTAAAGATATGGTTTTGCCCGTGAATTTGTTGTAATATACTAAGAATATCTGGATTGATATATAATTATTTAAATTAGAACATTAAATATTATATAGTGCAATTGAAGATATAGTTTGGATCATTTATATGTTTTGATGTTATCGTTGCTTGAATTTAAACAAATAATTGCTCAAATTAATAGCTAATGTGTAGATATACGCATGCAGTGTTGTAACTTTGAAGCTTTTATTTATCATTGTTTAGTATTTTTATAAATTAGGCAAACGTGCTCATTCTTTAGCAACTCAGTTATAGGAATGTTGCTTGAATTTAAACAAATAATTGCTCAAATTAATAGCTAATGTGTAGATATACGCATGCAGTGTTGTAACTTTGAAGCTTTTATTTATCATTGTTTAGTATTTTTATAAATTAGGCAAACGTGCTCATTCTTTAGCAACTCAGTTATAGAAATGAATTGCTATCCTAATTCATTTGTATGAAAAATATTTTTTTTTTGTCTAAATTGCTTTTAAAAAATTTTATTTTTTTGTGTGTAGATATATAGCAATTTTGTCATTAAAAAAAAACATAATATCACCAATTGTATTTACACATTATTAAAACCTCATATTGTAGACGACATTGGTAGTAGCAACATAATTTTGTCCGTCATCGTCTATAGCTAACATCTTCAGTCCATTAGAATGGGTGACTCGAGTGAAAATATATCATCGTAAAATATCAGTCAATTAGTAATATTATATTCATTTTCAACCAATTATTCTTTTTATTTTCCGTCAATTAATCAATTATAATATCATATGCAATGGTATTTTTACCTAATTTCAGTTTTATTTTTAATTTGTTATGTAGAATATTATTATTGAAATATTTCCGTTCCATTTTTAATTTACCTTTACTATTGTTTAAAATATGCCTTTACTATTGATGATGTAGAATATTATTATTGAAATATTATCTTTTTATTTTTAATTTACTTTTACTTGATGATGTAGAATATTATTATTGAAATATTTTCGTTCTATTTTTAGTTTCCGTTCTTTTATTTTAAATTTTGAAAGATTTATTGTGATATAATTGGTTCACATATTTCAATTATTTTTTTTTTTAATTATTATCAACAGAAATGATATTGTACTAATTAATTTATGATATTTATCAAATTGTATTTTTTTTAAATATAAGATTTACACATTTTATGAGGGGTTAAAAATTTAAAATAATTTTTTATTAGTATGAATTTTTATTTTAAAATATTTTATAGCAATCCAAACACTTCATTAGCCTCCCATAAAAAACTGATAAAAGAAAAGCCATTTCATTAAGGAAATTAAAATTAATTAAAGTAAATCAAATCATGCTATATTTATTTGTAACTGTATATTAATTTCATTTTGAAATCATTGGTTCACATATATAAATTTTTTTTTTAATTATTATAATTTATAAACAGAAATGATATTCTACTAATTAATTTATAATATTTATCAAATTGTAATTTTTAAAAATATAAGATTTACACATGTTATTGGGGGGGGGGGGGGAGGGGAGGGGGGTAAAAAATATTTTAATTTTTTTTTTATTAGTAAGTATTCAAAAAACAATAATAATTTCCAGCAACTCAAACACTCCCTTAGTCTCCCACAAAAAACTGATTAAGAAAATTCATATCATTAAGGGAATTAAAACTAATTAAAGTAAATCTAATCATGCTATATTTATTTGTAACTCTATATTAGTTTCATTTTGAAATTATTGGTTCATATATTTGAAATTATTTATTTTTTTCTTTAATTGTTATAAATATAAATGATATTGTACTAATTAATTTATGATATTTATGAAATTGTATTTTTTTTAAATGTAGTGTTTTACCCGTGTGTTGCACAGAATTTTTTTTTTTTGTTTTTTTTTGTTTTTATGAATTTAAAATTAAAATAAAAAATAAAAAAATGTTAAAATATACAATATAATAATATAGTTGGACTTTCATATATTTTGTCAAGTATCAATTTTCATAACATATAAAATTTAAATTTAAATTTTATATGGTTAATATAATCTCTAATCATGTACATATTTAGAAATATTTTTTTTTATTAGTAAGTATTCAAAAAATAATAATAATTTCCAGCAACTCAAACACTCCCTTAGTCTCCCACAAAAAACTGATTAAGAAAATTCATATCATTAAGGGAATTAAAACTAATTAAAGTAAATCTAATCATGCTATATTTATTTGTAACTCTATATTAGTTTCATTTTGAAATTATTGGTTCATATATTTGAAATTATTTATTTTTTTCTTTAATTGTTATAAATATAAATGATATTGTACTAATTAATTTATGATATTTATGAAATTGTATTTTTTTTTAAATGTAGTGTTTTACCCGTGTGTTGCACAGAATTTTTTTTTTTTTTGTTTTTTTTTTGTTTTTATGAATTTAAAATTAAAATAAAAAATAAAAAAAATGTTAAAATATACAATATAATAATATAGTTGGACTTTCATATATTTTGTCAAGTATCAATTTTCATAACATATAAAATTTAAATTTAAATTTTATATGGTTAATATAATCTCTAATCATGTACATATTTAGAAATATTTTTTTTTTATTAGTAAGTATTCAAAAAATAATAATAATTTCCAGCAACTCAAACACTCCCTTAGTCTCCCACAAAAAACTGATTAAGAAAATTCATATCATTAAGGGAATTAAAACTAATTAAAGTAAATCTAATCATGCTATATTTATTTGTAACTCTATATTAGTTTCATTTTGAAATTATTGGTTCATATATTTGAAATTATTTATTTTTTTCTTTAATTGTTATAAATATAAATGATATTGTACTAATTAATTTATGATATTTATGAAATTGTATTTTTTTTAAATGTAGTGTTTTACCCGTGTGTTGCACAGAATTTTTTTTTTGTTTTTTTTGTTTTTATGAATTTAAAATTAAAATAAAAAATAAAAAAATGTTAAAATATACAATATAATAATATAGTTGGACTTTCATATATTTTGTCAAGTATCAATTTTCATAACATATAAAATTTAAATTTAAATTTTATATGGTTAATATAATCTCTAATCATGTACATATTTAGATAAATTTATAGAAAAAATTCATATAATTAAGTTGATTTATTCCAAATTGTATTATATATATATTATTAATTCTAAAAATATGA